TTCACAAGAGGTTGCTGCAGAAGCATGAGAACAAGTGTTCATCCAGCCACTGCCTGCCCAGTCCCGGGCTCCTTGGGTTCAGGCAGCCCTTGTGGAGCAGCAGTGGGTGTTTGCTGAGATGTTCTGTGCTCACATTCAGCCCGTGCTGGGCTTTGGAGACCAACCAGCAAACACAGCTGTGAAAGGCTCTTGTTCTCTGCTGGAACTGCTGCCAGGAGAGTCAGCAGGCTGGACTGAGGGCAGCAGCAAACACAGGATGTTTTTGGACTTGGGAGTGAAAAACCTGAGAGAGTATTGTGGCAGTGCTAGGACAGGCTGGCAGGGCATGAAGGCACATCCCTTTTCCTTAATATCTTGGTAGGAATCCAAGGAAAGTATCCAGCAAGATGCCTCTGTGATACAGAGGAAGAACAGCGTGGAGAAAAGGCAAAGGGAGCTGAGAAAAAGCTTCCCAGGCTGGTTTTATACCCTTCAGAGCAGCTCCTAAGTGCAGGTTGGCTTCCTCCCCTCTTGGATCCACTTTGAAGGAGATACTGGTTGGAAGGAAGGGCCGTGCTGGGATGGGATGTGCTCCCCAAGCCTGGGAACACAATCAAAGGCCCCAGATGACACCTCCCTCCAAGGGGACTGTTTGCATCAGTACAAAAACAAAGTGGAGAGGGGCTGCAGGGCTGTGCTCTCCGTGCCTGGTGCTGGGGTGGGAACGTGGAGACATCCCACAGGCAGGAGCAGCAGGAGCTGTGTGTCCCACCGTGACCTGCCAGGCTCCCAGGGAGGTCTGGGGGACACAGCTGCACAGCTCCAGTGCCTGGAACACTGTCCTGGCATCGTGTCTTGGGCTTGGATCCCCTGGGATCCCCCCTGGGAACATGGTTAGCTTTGGCCCCAGGTTCAGGCAGCATCACACGCTCTCCAGCCATGTGGGCTGGCACCAAGTGCAGCTCTGGAGCCAGGGGGACAATGGTACAGGATATGGAAATAATTGTTCTTCCCTAGGGAAGCAGGTTTGTTGCTTCTGAGAAAAAGTAGATGTTGTAACCCTCAGCACACCCCAGTGCTCCTCACACAGCTTCCATGCACTCAGAGATTACCCTGCTTCCCTGCACCCAGAGGGTTTTCCTGGTGCACCTGTGGTTTTGTAAGAGAGCTGGAGGAAGGATTGTATCCCACCTTATCCTGGGTCAGCCCAGGTTAGCTTCATACCTGTGTGCATCCTCCTCGTTCTGCTGGGGATAGAATCACTTCTGGGGAAAAATAAATTGAATAATAGGAAGTGAATGGTCTGGGCTAAACCCTTAATGAGAGCACCAGAGGAACTTCTGGGTATTGTGCTTCATGTCCCAGTCTCCGTAATGCCAGTTCTTCAGATGTGGTTTCATGAGGAGCTCACTGGAGCCAG